GGGTTGTTGAAACTCTCTAACCACCTACTTTGATGGGAGTGTCCCCCTACTTTTCCTTAAAGCCCATGTCACTATTAGGACCCGTTTTGTTCCAGAGACACCTTGAAGCACGAGCTGAGGTCACGTGCTCGGGGTTGCACTCACTTAACGGGCGTCAAGGACGTGCCGGGCTGCAGGAAGCAAAGCAAAGCGGAGGAGGATGCAGGACGAGAACTGTCTTGGTCACAGTGTCCCTGTTGCCAGGTTGTGACTCAGGAACAGTCTTTCTGGTCCTGGCAGGGCCCTCCCCAGCGAAGGCCACGGCCTCCGCAGCTGCTTTGCCTCCAGAGGTGCTTTACTTCCAAAGGTGCTTGGCCTCCAAAAGGTGCTTTCTCTCCAAAGGCAGCCTCGCCGCATGCCGCTGTGGCCTCAAGGTGCCGGTCCCAGTGCCACCTGCTCCTCTGCCCCCAGGAGACCTCCAGTGATGGGAGAAGAGCAGGCTTGAAATTCTGCCAGGTCACCTCCTGGCCAAATCTGGCCAACACACATCTCCACGGGCCACTGCAGCCTGCGGAGGAGACCTGAATTTCCAATCTACAAAGCAGGTGCTTTTTGTTTTCGTTATTGTTATTATTTTCAGGCCTTTCTGCAATCACAAAGTTGGGAAGTCTTGTCCAAAGCCATGTTCTGTTCCCCTTGGGGGTCATCCGTAGGGTGCAGGGAGGTGGACAGCCCTCTTTCCCGAGAGCAAACCTCTCCGCCCCGCCAGCCCTCGCGTGTTACTCTACCGTCTGTATTTTCACCCACCCAGCAGCTGATCCCAGCTTCTCTGGTGCTCAGCAACTCCCGTTTGGCTGTCGGGCGGGAATTGATTTGCCTTCCTTCCTGGTGCCATGCTCCATACTGACAGTTTGGGAGGGGAGGATGTGTTTTCACCTTTTTATATAGAGATATATATAATGAAAAATATTTAACATACTAATTCTGAGAAGGAGCGACATAACGCCACGATTTATAATAAAGGAGTAGCTACGATCCCGGGCGCAGCTTCTGGTCCCGCTCTTGTTTCTCAAGCGGCAAGCTTGGGGTCTGAGCAGCCTCACGCCACGATGCTCCTTGTTCCTACGCTGCAGGAGGGGTTTGGGTCGCAGAGGAGGGTTTTACCTGCAGCCTGCGTGACTGGAGCAGGTCAGAGAGGTGGAGATTCGCCCAGAGCTGCTGCGTGGCACATAGGAAGAGGCTTCCCCTTGGCAGACCCCTTGCAGGTTGGCTGTGCACCCCGGGGGCACACAGACCCCGTACTGGTAATGCTGGTTTGGGATTTTTTGCGGGGGTTGGTTGAAGAACTACGTGTCTGAAACAGCACTGATGCCTCCCAGAATCGCTTGGGCTGGTTCCTGTGGGGATGGACACAAAGGTTTGCACCACGTCTCGCGGCTCTGGAGGACCACAGGGCAGAGTCTTTGGTAGGGCAGCGATAGGACAAGGGGTAACGGTTATCAGCTGCAAGGGGAGATTCAGGCTAGAGATAAGGAGGAAGTTCTCTATGCGTAGGGTGAGGAAATGCTGGCACAGGTTGCTCAGAGAGGTGGGAGATGCCCCATCCCTGGAGACGTTCAGTGTCAGGTTGGACGGGGCTCTGAGCAGCCTCGTCGAGTTGATGTCCCTGCTCGTGGCAGGGTGTTGGACTAGAGGACCTTTGAAGGTCCCTCCCAGCCCAAACCACTCTGTGATTCTGAGTCTAAGCTGGCTGCAAGTGACTGAGCTGGTATTCTGCAGCAGAAAAAGACAGTTTCAAAAGCAGAGGGCCCTGACCTGGTCTGATGTGTTAGGCTTCGACAAAGCATTGCCCCCTCTTGTTCCAGCTATTCCCCCAGAAATGTTTCTGCCCAGAAAGTCGCCCAAGGCTGAGGTCAAAGAGATTCATTTGCAGAGGAGAGCTCTCAGGAACGCTTTGATCCTCCACTTTCTGCAGACTCTGCTGGTGAGAGACGTGCCCAGCGCACGGTGCGTATTCGCCATGGATGGTCTCCGTAGCGTGACGCCCTCCCAGAGCTGCTGTGCCACCTGCACTGGGCCAGGGCAGCGGCGAGACCCGGGCTGGGCTCTGCAGCAGCGGAGCACTCCCGGGCACG